GAAACAGTTCGTGATCAGCACACAACTGAAGGAGTCGATCTCCGTTGTCTGTGCGGCAAGCATCGACTCCGAATCGACCACCCAAATGTGATTCCAAGGAGCTCAAACGACCTACTTGAGCATTTAAATCGCCTGCAAGGATCACAATGTCATTGCTTTTTGCCTGACGAATGAGCCCGGATAGCTCTCGATAGAAAGTATCCTTCTCCGCATCAGAACGGCAGTATGGAGCATACAGTAACCTTCGACGAACTCTCAGATTTCAGGTGAAAAAGCGTTTGCGCGAATCGATAAACTTCTTGGATTTAGAAAGCTAAGAAGATGGAGGGGGCGAGAAAATCTGTGCGTAATCGAATGCATATCACACGTGTAACCGACCCACAAGGGCCTCCAATAGGCAAAACAATCACCACGAACAATAGCTCGCCTGTTTCCAAAAAGAAGAAGGCTTGGGTCCTTCGACCGAACGCTCTGCAACAATCCAACTGGACACCTGCAGTTGCTCGGCCGGGTTCTCCACCCACAACACATCCCTGGAAAGTGAACTTTGGACGCCCGACTGCTTCGGAAATAAGCGAATGCCTTTTATTTCGCAGACATCGCCAACCTGCTGATCCTGACGAACTTCCTCTCGCTATGTTCAGATATAGAGGCGAAAGCCCTAGTTCATGCTTGTGTGATCTCCATCTGGGCGAAGGAAAATTTACCCACCAGCTGAGGTGGAAAAAACGTTCAGCTGTAGCACCCTTTCGGTTTATAACTCATGCTACCCGAAGGAAGCACGAGGGCTGGGATACTGCCCGGTTACCCAAGCCTGGACATGGGAAGTTGAGATTCAGAACTTCCGGTCAGTAGATTCGTGATCCAATCACAGCCATCTCGCCACCAACTAAGGTGAGTCGACAGTGGCTCTACTTTCAAAAGCGTGTGGCAGTTGAAGAGGATTGACGTGACTTCCGTTGAAATCTGACTCATCTTATCTCATCTCCTCATCCTCCTACGAAGGCGTGTGTAGACGGAACGTGAGAAGAGCAAGCAGGATTCTGGCCGGTAAAGGACTCTGTGTGTCACATTTATACGCTCTTTGAAGCGCCCCAAAAGTTTTCATTTTCCTGGACTTCGAAAGTACTTTCGGTGCTATCAACTGGTTGGTTAATTTCAGTAGCACGCTATTCTGTCTGCATTCGCATACTTGTGAGAATACTCATAATCAGAGAGGAATATCAGTGGTAACACGGACGCATTACTGCCTACAGGTGTATCTTACTCCTTTTACGTTACACCTAGAGCCCGTGGCGTTGTTTTCTAGTGTTTGGGAGAATGTGGGGTATCAGTTCACATAGTCATTACTGCTCCCACATGCTATTTGTATCGTGTATTCTTTAATTCAGGCTCATGATATCGGTATTGATATAGTAACACAATTGCAGTAAACATGATAATTTTCAACTCCTCGCAGCTCACTTTATTTTCGATATGGAGGCTGTGGCAGTTCACGCATTTAAACCGACAGAGCCGGATGAATTGGGATTTGAGAAAGGGAGCATACTACATGTAAGTCGCTCACTGTGTCAACTGATTCATGCGTACAGATAATTGAGATGGAGGAAGATCCTAATTGGTACAAGGCACGACAGGGACAAAGAGAAGGCATGGTTCCTGCAAATTACATCACTTTGTATGCACACCCGTGGTATGTTCCTAAATGCAGTCGTCGCGAAGCCGAAGCCCGGTTACTGGAAATTGATCCTCAGACCAACGCCGATGTCCAACCCAATGGAGCGTTTGTTGTGCGTCAGAGTGAAAACGAGCTGGGTCAGTTTAGTATATCCGTCAAGTAAGTCCTTATAATGTTATCAGCTCAAAATATTTACTTCAAAACATCCGTTTTGCTGCCTAGATTATGGGTAAGAGTGCCCCTTTGCTTAGCAAGAAATGCCCCAGGGGTTTGTGAATATAATATGCTCTTTGTATTCTCAGACTCCCACATGTGAGGGTACATAGAGAGCCCCTCAAAAGTCCCGTACTTGAAGGGATGTCAGACATGACTGTTCTTTTTCTCCCTTCCTACTTAATTTTGTGACCGAAGCAATCAAAAGTTTTCATTTTCCTGGACTTCGAAAGTACTTTCGGTGCTATCAACTGGTTGGTTAATTTCAGTAGCACGCTATTCTGTCTGCATTCGCATACTTGTGAGAATACTCATAATCAGAGAGGAATATCAGTGGTAACACGGACGCATTACTGCCTACAGGTGTATCTTACTCCTTTTACGTTACACCTAGAGCCCGTGGCGTTGTTTTCTAGTGTTTGGGAGAATGTGGGGTATCAGTTCACATAGTCATTACTGCTCCCACATGCTATTTGTATCGTGTATTCTTTAATTCAGGCTCATGATATCGGTATTGATATAGTAACACAATTGCAGTAAACATGATAATTTTCAACTCCTCGCAGCTCACTTTATTTTCGATATGGAGGCTGTGGCAGTTCACGCATTTAAACCGACAGAGCCGGATGAATTGGGATTTGAGAAAGGGAGCATACTACATGTAAGTCGCTCACTGTGTCAACTGATTCATGCGTACAGATAATTGAGATGGAGGAAGATCCTAATTGGTACAAGGCACGACAGGGACAAAGAGAAGGCATGGTTCCTGCAAATTACATCACTTTGTATGCACACCCGTGGTATGTTCCTAAATGCAGTCGTCGCGAAGCCGAAGCCCGGTTACTGGAAATTGATCCTCAGACCAACGCCGATGTCCAACCCAATGGAGCGTTTGTTGTGCGTCAGAGTGAAAACGAGCTGGGTCAGTTTAGTATATCCGTCAAGTAAGTCCTTATAATGTTATCAGCTCAAAATATTTACTTCAAAACATCCGTTTTGCTGCCTAGATTATGGGTAAGAGTGCCCCTTTGCTTAGCAAGAAATGCCCCAGGGGTTTGTGAATATAATATGCTCTTTGTATTCTCAGACTCCCACATGTGAGGGTACATAGAGAGCCCCTCAAAAGTCCCGTACTTGAAGGGATGTCAGACATGACTGTTCTTTTTCTCCCTTCCTACTTAATTTTGTGACCGAAGCAATGAGACAGTTTTCTAAACCCTGGTGTTCAAATAGCTACACTGGAAAACTGTTGCTCTGGAATATGTGGGCGCCATCGTTCTCATTTTCGGAGAGAATTCGCAGGGGTTTTCGGATAAACTGACCAAAGTCACCCCATCCTTTAGCTTTCGGTTTGCATCCACGAAATGCTAGTTCAATCTTCTGCACATGCAGTCACTGAACACGCCACGTACAGTCCTTGGAGAGGTAATCGAAGTTTTGGGGCCTTTTGTTCATCTTGGTTCTGACTTTCGTGTGAAAATGAAGTGAATGCACGAACCTGTCAATCTAGGGTTACGTCTGCTAATTATTAGGAATCAAGTGCTACTGACAACCACGTGTAGTCCATTGGTAGGGTTTTTAGCCTCTCGGGCTTCGTGAACTACCTGGGCGCTACTGATTTTAAGCAAGGTTGTACCAACTGTACACCATTTCTATTTCTTCAAACATGGCCTGACCTAGCAGGATTAAGTTTCACCTGATTGGGAACGGATCGTGACCTGTTGGGTTTGCCTATTCGATACAAACATGCAATGACTTTCGTGCCAGCAAGTGGATTGATTAGTTTAATTGTTTCGTGCCGTCCATCGTATGTGAACTCGATGAGCAATCAGTAACTTCATCCTCAACTGGTCGCGGAAATCGAGAAGCTCTAGATAGAGGTACTACCTGATAACAATGTGCATGGTGGTTGATTAAGTGTTTCGTCCATCCTTTGATTTCCTAACCGAACTCTTATACAGACATCCTCAGCAAAGCGGTGGACCTCTGTTTCACCCTTACTGAGGCCCATCGGCACCACGTGAGCTTGGCCTCATTATGATTGGAGTTTCTGGTGCTAAACCCGTGCAAGCGTCATGACAGCAGCTGGACATGTTGCAATATAGTTAGTTCGTGAATATCTTTTTTCCTATATTTCCGTTGTTCTGATGGCGATCGGTTTCATTATGGCAGTCTTTGTTGGAGACTCTGCAGGATGACACTTGTTAACAATGAATGGGATTTTCTGTGATATATACCAATGTTTTTCAAACTGGGTAGTGAATTGTTTTTTTCTATGTAGAATTATTTCGATTAAAAGACGCCTAACATACCACAACGACGATTCATACTAGTAGCTGATAATTTTGATTGCAAATTTAGATTTAAGACTGAAATGAAAAGCACTTATTGCTAGGTTGAACATTCTATCATGGAGCATCTGTGTCTATGATAGAAGTTCTAAAATCAACTTTATATCTCCCTATGCTTCAACCCTGCAAGTGCTGAAGAGCAGAGAAGCATGATACAACTACCTCATCATGGTTGGTAATCGTCAGACGTGCCCATTTTATCAATCTGTAGGACGATTGGAACCCATTGCGTTCCGTTAAGCATTACACCCTGCGGACATGAGTGGCTGATCAGCAGTGCGATTAATTCCCCTTACACAGGTTATAGCGCCACTAGTCTTTCAGTCACGCAGTTTACGTCGCGGTCGTATGACGACTGGCTCTCGGGTTGCTGGCTTATTTTACGAACTTTTTGAAAACGATGATAACGATCGTATAGTTAGATGTTACCTCAAATTGAGCTGGTTTTCGAAACCGCACGATGCGAAACGCGTCTACGAGCTATGGAGTGTGGTCATTTTGGACCTACCAGTACAATAATAGCGTGTGTTGCCAGAGAGAAAAGAGATGCTCCCTTGATACATACTTTGAGCTTCGTAGCTGGTTGATACTGGCTGATAATTTCCTTACCACACTGTAGTTTGATATCTGTGATGCTTATGTGCCAGGGACGGGGAAAATATCAAATGGTTTTTACCACTTGACGGAGCTGACCCAAAATGTGACTATCTTGGGAGGTTGGAAGTGATTCATCGGGACTTTTGAAAAGGAAATTCAGTGAAACATCCATAATTGCGTTATTTAGTTCCTCCTTGTGGGTAGCAATAACTACTAGTGAAACGAGGAAAGCCCTTACTAACAAATACGAGTCAAGCGGTTACAAGCCATTCGACACGAAAATAAACATCTCTGCACAGAGATGTTAACATTCTCAAGCGTCCTGTTAAACTTTCTTGGACGTTCTTTGAATGTTAAATAATTGTAAACGAACACTGCAAAGTACTCCCATAATTTCTGTATTAACCCTCACCTTCCGCCGGATTCAGGGGCGGAGCCTGGATACCGAACCCTTAGACCACTTGCATGCTTCATCAGTAGTATCCACTACTATGTGAATCCGGCACAAAAATAGTTTTGACGAAAGCGGCGAAGGTGCAACGTGTGTTAGGAAAGATTGGGTTCTTAAGTTTGAGAATTCTATTCGTCTGTTCTGTTCTGCGTAGCCGGTCTCTCTCTACCGTCTGGTGTTTATCAACTAAACAATGGACAACTTCAGACGCAGGCCAAAGTGTTCAATACTCAAGGATATCATCTGAACTGTTGGGTATGGCTACAGGACGAACCAGATTAGCATCGACAGTGGTCCTGTATTCGCTGATCGCTTTGGACTGACTAATTGCTGTGGACGCAGCCACCCACCGACGAAACGGTGGATCAAGTGAGCTGATCATGCTTACCAGGCAGCATGGCCATTGTCGTGGCTAGCCATCGTATGTCCTCGTGGGATCTAACTTCTAATGTACCTGATGTAACATGATTGAGTTCAGCTGTTCATACTGTCCTCATCAGCATTTGAACGATTTTTAGTACGCTGACTACCCTGGCGCTTCAACCTCCCCGATGTTCTTGGAAGTGCAAACCACGGCCAGTTGGCCTTGCTTGAATAGTTTGTATTTGGCTCATTAGTATCGCAGACTTCTAATGTACTCCGAATATATACCATTGGATTCAAATGTTAGGTTATGTGCAGCAACCCTCCGAACGTTTCAGATTTTCTGTGATCGGCTTTGTACCGACCAAGCTGGCTGCTGGTTGACATCAGCTAGCATCGGCTGCGCTCTTTTTGTAATGCGGGCCAGTCACTGCACTCTCTTTTGTTGTCCCGTTGTGACTACTCGATAATTACGGGTATTCCGTTGAGTATGCAGATGACCTTAGAACTGCTCGTTCTTGTTTACTCCTCGATCCGACTCCCTCAGTTGTTGGCCTGGTAAAGGATGTTTGGTTGGTTGCACACGCCGCTCAGCGCAGACTGTGTGTAGCGTTAACTGTAATACACACCGGTCCATTGTTATATTTCTATGTGACGGACAGATCTGGAAACAGATGTCAGTCCTGCACGTAGGGATAAGTTGTCCAGATTGATATCGTCACGAATCGACTGATTTTACAACAGGCTATTTTTATTGGATTATATGGTCTCCGGGACATTCCCATACCACCCGAGCATCCACATGATGGCGACAGAGTCCTCGGCCAGGGCGATTTACTCAAATCTCTGATCAAAAGGCATCAATACGATGCGTAAAGTTACTTGAAAAGCCTGACCACCAAATCGCCACTTGCAAGCCGTGTTTGCCTAACCTCATTATCTAATACAGTGGTCCTCCCGAAAAGTGGTTAGTTCTGTAGAATCAAAAGCCGTTCACTTCGAGAAAGATTTGCTCCCCGAGGAGAGAGAAGCAGCCCAATAAACAGTTTGAACTTAAATAATGGTCGCTGTTGGATAGGGTGAGAAAAGCATCGAAGACAACATGTTCTTTCTACTTCCTTTCTAATGACATTCGATCTTTCCAGATCATTCCGGGGGCGTATCACACGGTGAGTTTAGGTTGAATTACCTGGCCGTGAAAACGATGAATATCGTCGAACTCAATCTCGTAATTTCAATCTACGAGCTCTATGGAATTCGAATGAACTTCTAGGCTGCCTCGTGTGTACAGAAGGCACAATTAGGGAAAGATACCAATAGTCGGACTAGACAGATGGTTGGAAGCATTTCGCACCGACAGAAGTGCGTTAACTAACCAGTTAACCGCAACACAACAAAAGTGGTTTACGCTACTGATCGTTTCGTCTGTCTGTGGGGCTTGTAATTAGTGCACGAGAAAGTACACCAGTTCTGTCGAGCTTCAACTCCATTTCTATGCCGTTCACGAATGGCTGGGATGCGGTAGAGCCAACTGGATGTTATTGCGGTAGAGATTTCCGCTGAGGATTTTGAATTTATATTACACCACTCTTGGTAGCCACTTACTGCCCAAACTCATAGCAGTGCTCGCCAACGCAATCTGAACCGAGTCCTCCGTGACATCCACGATATAGTCATTCAATTCCGTCTCGCTTGATCGGTTAAGCCTGCTTACATCTTCCTTGCCAACGTCTTCATATATTTTTCCAGTGAGTCAAGAAATGTTCGGAGCCTATCTGGAAGTGTTTGCCTCAGCAAAACAATCGGTGATTTCCTTGCTGGGCAATAAACTTAAAATTCTCATCAGACCAAACGACAAGGTTACCAGGTTGATCAGGTTTTGAGCAGATAGAGAACCAACCACATCTTCAACTATCTGGCTATCTCAGTGCTAAATGTTGACCAAAAGTTTTTGTTCTTTCTGGGAAACAAAGACTGATTGACTGTTGGGTTAGGGTGAAAATTCCCGTCAGCGTAAATTAGGTTTGAGGCACTTTGGCGAAGTGATCCTCATGGACATCGTTCAAAAACTCTGTTGGCCGCTGTGGTTTTTGCGGGGATCGGCCTGCTGTTCAGAAGCCCAGATGCTTCCCTCCTGCCGATTTCTACGGTGAGCAGTTTGGTAGTTTGATTCTCTCTGTGAAAAAATAGGCTGTTAAGGAGCTACCGAGATGACATGCAAACCGTGACGCTGTCAAATAGTTCAGTCCCTTCGCAACTTATTCAGTCACCCACTGTATAACATTACGCTAACCAATTCACGTCAGGGTGCCTGATTTCAACGGAATGGTCTAGGTGACAAGGCAACCTACTTGGTTCAAATAACAAAGATCGGTGCCAGATGTACAGGAAAACGGCAACCTATAAGAATGAGAAATCGACAATATTTTATGGTGCGTTTGCAATAAAGCGGAGACGAATCTAAAACATTGACAGATTTCTCTGAACGGTGAAGTAATTGGAAGTGTGGGGTTGGGGTTGCGGACATTACGAGAAAGGTGGCGACCGCAAACAGAGGTTCCTTGCTTCACTTTTTCAGTTCTTTAACCTTTCCGCATATGTCCTTGTAAGGAAGTAAGTAAGTAATGAACAGAAAAAAGTGCCTATTCTCGATTATCCATAAACTGCCAGTTGTGCTAATTCTATTTTAAGCCAACGGAATTTTCCCCAGCGTTTTTGTACCCGGTTATTTTCTCACTATGCCGAACACCCCCCGTTCTTATCAATCCTCCGAAAAGTGCCATCAGGTTCATCACGCTGCTGGTTCGTAAACCGATTTTCTCATCTTCACCGGTGTTTCGCGTCATGTGCATTGACTAGAATCCTTTCACGACTTTATCAATTTCGTTAACTTACTGTTTTCCCGTCCAATAACAGAGATGGCCCTTCGGTATTACATTTTCGTGTATTTTCGGATCCCAACGGAAAATACCACATTTGGACAAACAAATTTCAGTCAATCAATGAATTGGTTGATTATCATAGGCGGCAAACGATCTACGGGGACAAGACGCTCCTGTTACGAGATTGCATGCCGAGTAAGGTGAGTTGACCTTCTTGGCCGGCCTATATACGGTTGTTTCTGTCGTTTTGCAGTTCAGTGTTCACAAGTCCTTGCTGTTTATGTTCTCTTTGTCCTTTTCGTCATGTATACAGAACAGTTGCTTGGTGACCGGTAGACACCGGCATTGTTGCATCTGGATATCATCGGTGCAACTGAGTCAAACTTGATTTCGACCAACCACTGTCGCCTGCATTCTCACGTGTCATGTCAACTTGAATGTGCCTCACGCTGTTATCTCTTTTGCTTCAGTGGTCCTCACGATTGTCTACCGATATTGAAAATCTCATGCTTAATGAGTCATCATTCACAACATTTTAGGTTAACATTGCATGTAGAATTTTCTTGTTCACTTCCTCGGAGAATGTCGTGGTGATTAGTTCTTATTGAAATGTATCTGAGGGGAACATTTGCTGCCTTAGTAATTTGGAAGCCTTTGAGGAGCTATTGTTCTATCCATTGGTTACTCATGGGATTTGTATTACCACTATTTCGAAATGCGGCGGAATTCTTTTGCTACCTGGTTTATTTTCCGCTTACAAGTGTATCAGCATCATATATGTTTCTTGTTCAGGTTCTTCTGTGTCGCATTCATTCTAATATCATTGTACGCAGACTTTAGTACCAAGCATTTCTCATTAAATAAGAACAATTGATTGTTTAAGTGAATTTATTCAAAAAAAGCTCGTCTTTAAGAATTCACACACAACAAATGGGTAACTATGATCAGCCTTTTGAACGGTGTGCCTTTCAGCGAAGCAATTGATATGGCCGTTAAGTAGTTTGCACGTCATTTGGGGAAATGTAAATCGATCAAGTTTGTCCATACAAAAGTTCTTCCCGGCTAAGCTTAGTGTAACTCACATCTGTAAATTTCATGATCCCAAAAATATTGTATTGTCCCATTGGACGAGTTTTGTTGTGTTATTTATTGTGCTTCTTCTATGCTCAGTCGTTCATGCTACATTTTCTCTCTGCATGTTTAGAAATAGCTTTTGATGAAAGATAAGATAAAGAGGTAGTCGGATGGACAAGATTTTTTTTGCACATGAGCTGGTTCAACTGATGTGTAGGATAAACTCACTTAAACATTTTTGCAGTGTGTAGGCCCTCATTATTTATTCAGTGATAAGCATTTTTCTCAGCACTCACCTGTAAATCTGAGAGTAAATCTAAACCTACACATAAACCATAGTTAGAGTGGCGTTCAAGTGAGAGAAATGATTACCTCATTCCTTGCGGTCACCGCAATCCCCATTGCCAAAATCCCTATCTGAATTCGACAATCCAGTTTCAATTTTCCCGTTAGTGGATCGACAGGAAGTAGTTCGTTTTTTCTGCGGAGAGAAACATTGAAAGTTGACTGTGAAAAACTGAGACAGCAATGAGATTTTACGCTGCTCTGTTTGACACCCCCATCTTTTGGAATGTGTTGAGGCTCATAATGTCCGTGACTTATTAGATCTGTGCGTCTCAAATTCTAAAACAAGCGGTCGAATCTCAACCATCTGTTGGATCCGTTTGGAATAAACAGAGTACCTAGTTTAGTCAAGCGTTAGACAGAATAATCGACAAAGCGTGGCGAGGAAAACCCTCAGTACCTACAATTTACTGTGTAGCTTTTGCGCATTTTATCAAACGATTGTGTGTAAAGATGTGGAAATAAACAAAATCGGATACCACAGGGCTTCGCGTACTTCTTGGGAGATACAAAGGGTAGCCTTGAGCTGGGTTTCTCACCACTTCACCTATGTACCTTCCATACGCATACAAACAAACTAATCCCATAGAGTTGTAACTGGTGCTGTTTAGGAAAAGAGGCACCTGTCAGACGAACGGGCCGTCGTTAATCTGGTCTCTTTCAAGAAGCATCGTGACCGGAGTGTGGCTAAGTCTTGGTATCTGTCGGTTTGGATTTTGGGTACTCCGAATTGACTACTTTCACATTTACTTTGGTACAGTCTGTGAACCTGATCCTTTTAATGCTCACCCGAGCTTCAGTTGTGCCCAATAAACTCCCTACACAGTCGCTTTTCACTTCTCGATGCTGCCTCATCGGGCTTGAGTCTTGTGTTTGTGATGTATGAGTCGCCCGATTACTTCCGTGGAGTGGCATGGAGCCATTTTGGTTCACTGATTGTATTCTGATACTCTTCTTCTCGGTAGTCGCCCTTTCTTTGTTTCGTTTGTTCTGTTAGTGAAGCTAACCTGTACTGTAAAGAAGTAATTTGCAACTCTCATCCTTGTTGTTCAAGTAGCGTTCTAACTTGGAGTTTCTGCAGAGGGCCGCAGGGGATTCAAAATGTTTTTTTGTGTGCTCGGCTGAGTTCAATGGATCTTTCCTTCAAAATTGGTCAGAATCAACACCAGATTACCTGCTATGAACATACGCTGTTGCGATTCACTGTTTAGCCACATTTCTCAATCACAGTGACTTGAAATCACGGTTTCTGAATTTTCTGACAAGGGTTGTAGGTTTTAACCTACTCAAAGAATCGGGAAATACACATTCTATGCGATTCGTAGCAAGGCTGAAGCAGCTTCACATCGCTTGTTGGTGTTTGACCGACTCACCAGTGCAAAGTGAAATCCACAACTAGAGTAATGTATGCTTCGATCTATCCCCCAATGGTTCTTGCCCTATAAATAATAGACAAATATGCTTTGGACTGTCCTCAGTCCTGTGGAATGCGTGTCCTTTTGTACAACTACTTCGTTTAATTTGCTGTTGCACTTGATTCAACTAGGAATATCTGTTGAGTACGCAGTTCGATCACACCGCTGTGATTGAGAGCTAGCTTACCCGGTAACTAGATAATCCAGACAACCAGACGCTTGCTTTTCTGGTGATCGTGTATGGTTCACAATCAACCTAACATTGGAATGCCTCTAGCGGTCTCATTGTATTCGGTTTCTGTTTTGTTCTGTCCCGTTTATGCTTGCAATGTTATATATATATATATATATATATATCTGATCATCCTGATCCTATAACAGAATATGGGTGATTATGGAAGGAATCCATGACAATTTGGTTGCAGGAAGGTTAAAAGCCATCCATAAAGCGATTTGGCAGGAAGCAGATTTTCTTTTGTGGGCATAAAACCTCCTGATGCAAGCATCGACATCGTTCAGTGCTATTTTCTCCACTCAACACGGGCTATAATACCAATCTTACAATGAGAACTGGATAACTCACTGGATAAGGCGCGAACTTACTTTTTGCAAAATCCATCCATTGCTGGAGACCCCACCTCGGCATCTTGACTGCTCCCATCTAGGTTTGGGCAACCTGGCGATAGCTCAACCCTCACCATCCCTTCGAATGGTGACAACGAGGAACAAAAAGGGTGTTACAGGTGACTGACCGTTATTATTTATTCATTTATTGTAGTGCTGTTGGAAACTCATTATCGGGTTCATCAGCTTGACGTAGTTCTGGGGTTACCTTCAGGCGTATTCTGTACATGAACGGTACTGTTCTCCACCTTTAGAGTCACCACCTCATCTAAGGGAGCATACTTATTTGAACTACCAGTGCGTTCTGCACTTACAGTTCGAGATTGGAAATTTCAGCCTCTTTGTCGCTTCTCGGTTGCATACATTTTGTAGATTAGCCTGTAACATGATGATAAATGACCTACAACTTGCACTCCATTCCTGACCTGACAATCCGAAGCGCTGAAAGTCTCAAATTTCCACCAAAATAATTTGAATTTTCTAACTGGGAATGTCGAACGCCGGGGTGTGGTCGGCCAGATGCGTTTTACGTCTTCCCTTTCGGCTTCGACGGATAGAAATGGCGAGCAAAATACAACAGTCGTGAATACTGTCGGAGATATTAGACTGATAATAGAATCGGCGCAACGTTCTTTGTGCTTGTATGGGGCTACGAACATTTGTAAGTAGTGTCTTTGATGTTAGTCTCTATCCATATTATGTGAGTGACTGTTTAGGGGTACATGCCTCCTCGACGGTTTGGGGTGGGCTTGCACCAAGCGTCTTTACCCACCCTATTTTTGTATCCTTATTTAGATAAACTGAGTTGGCTGTGTGGCACATATGCCCCGATGTTCCACTTTGATGTTGCCGTCATTGATATGATGTCTCATGTTTCACACCACTAATTGTCTAGAGTTTACTCACATGGATGTGGTTAATCGCCAGACGGGTTTTACACCCGGTTGTCGCCTGCAAGATCGTTTCTTCTTATCCTTTTTCCATATCTACCTCCACGAGGTATGGATGTCCCCACGGCGTCCACCCATGAACACTAAGTAAGCCGACGGAAGATGCTCACACCCGATGTATATTTCTCTGGGATGCGTTGAAGTTTAGTCTGTCAAAGAAAAGTCGCTGTTCGTCCTTGGAGATCAGCTTTGTTAATCACCCTGTGGCGTTCATGCGTCAAAGGTAGTCTCCTCAGTACCTCACGGTCCGTTTCCATCCAGTCGACCACAAACGTAACTCGGGTATCTTCTTCCTGGTCCCACTCCAAGCTACGAAACCTAGCAACCATATATTTATTGATCCTGTTAGATGGAGGAAATTTAGAGATTTTTTTACCACAAAGTACGGCTGAGAATGGGACATATTGTCCACGTAGCGCACGATGGAGTTTTTTTTATAGAACTAATGACGTCAAACGAAAATGTTAATTTCACGCAATTGATGCATCACCTATTCGCAAGACTTAGCTAGGTGCACGTGCGGGAGCTGCTGGGGATAGCACATTTCACCATATTTCTGTTGGTCTTGACCACTGAAACTCTCGCTTGTGCCCAGACTTGGCCAAACACAGACTAGTATGTTTACTACCTTGGGAGGCACACACGCACAAGTTTGTGTAGTGATATCCTGTGACGATCGACCATGTTCCTAGAAAGTTGCAGAAGTACTGTGTATGCATTTACGCGGGATTCTCCTGGCATGGTGGTGGAATGAATGACTGGCTGATTGTATGGTCAGGTGAATTCGTTTGCTGTACGTCTCGTATGTGTTGGTCAATCATAATGTTGTTTTTTTTTGGATTGGCGCAGAAAGCACACCATTTTTTCGTGCGCGGTTAACCCAGACTTGTTCGATAAATCCTCGTTCATCTGCTGTACTATTTTCTTATTCCCACCCATCACGTGCTGCTGGACCATGTTAAGTATTTTTGGCTTGCTAAAACTCACAGCGAATTGTTCCAAGTGTCGTAGTGATTAGAATTGCTAATTTCTGCAATTCAGTCAACCTTTGTTCTTGCTCGGTAAACCTCACTATTGTTTGGCGGATGACATTGCGGTGATGCTCATTGACCATCGACTATACTAATAGATTCGTGTAGTACTATTCGCTGTCGGATACACCTAACTTAGACTGTGTGCAGGACTTGCGAGCAACGGTGCATAGTAAGACGTATATCTGGCTAACAATCCGGTCTAGTTTGTCACTAGCCTAGAAGTATGCTCGCCTCTGAGAATAGCTTGCCTCGTTTGGTAGACTTATTAGCCCATCCCCTTTGGGAGACATGTTTCAAATGAAACGGGATCTTCATGGTTGTTGGTAACTACATTTATTGACCCTTATAGACGAACTGTTGCACATGATGAGCTTTCTCGGAGATACTAATGTTACTGTAGTACTGTACTGAAGTGACCCGTTTTTTCTTAGAACTTCGGCCATGCTCCCTCTAAGTCTGGTACATTGATTCCTTCAATCGTATAGCTTTCACACATCACCGGTTTAGCCCTTGTTCACACACCACTGCAAATACTGCTATCAACTACTCACCAATGTGGGACAGTGTGAGAGATATATTCCTCTATGACAGGTGTATATTGAGACCAGAAGAAACGATGGGGGAATGCAGTGTGTTCCGATAATAGAAAATCCCTTGTTATGACCATTTAGCACAATCTGCATCACTCTTTGCAATCCTACTACGTATCACATAGGTGACAAACAAACAAATGCACGAATGCAGATCTAAGGTTTGCAGTTCATATGCCGACGAGGAATGCGTACAAGGTGCAACCGGACCACATGAACTGAACTGCGGAAATACTTGCTCAGGTCTTTGCTATCGGAAAGACTTAATCGAAATCGTTACGTTGTCGTCAAGTAGTGTGTTTGAACAGAGTTTAAAGTTGTATCGTTGTATCGCTCTTCAGGTTCCTAAATGCAACTGAATGTTTCCCATGGGGAAATGAGCATGCACAACGGTAAACTAACTCAAGTTGATGGTTCTCGACGTTCCGTTTCTTCTTTGTAATCGGGCATCTCCTCATACATCACTGTTCCATATTTTTTGTTGGACGGAACCCTGACGGCTAATGAGCATTGCCATAACAATTCCGTGTACATCTGGACACTTATCTGTCCTAATTGTGGACTCTGTTCCATAATGAAGTAACAATCAATCTTGTGTTGGTTACTATAGCAGCCCAACTGTTGCTTGAACATATGCAGTTCTTCCTTAGTATCCATCGTATGCCAAATGCTACCTTAACTCTTTATTGTTTACGACCTGCGTTATTCTGCTTTTGATAATGGGACAACGAACGTCATTATAAATGTGCACCAAGTTGACATCGAGAAAACAAATTCGGTAATGCATTTCATTGATCCTAGCCTTCGATTGATCGCACGTTGAATTTTCTTCTGCAAACGGTAGCAGGGAATCCAAGTTTTGCTCATAACGTGGTTCTTAGTTTACCGTTTGGTTATGGAATTTGTCAAACTTGCGTTCGTACAACTCTTCTTTACGTTTTTCCTGTATGACGGGTTTGCCTGGATCGCCCTATTTCAAAGGAAATCTTTGTGTTCTGTGTGCCCAAGCAATCCGTACGAAAGTAGAAGTCGGCTCACAGCTGATAGACTTCCGTAGGGGGTGGAGTCCCGGTTGTCCTAATACTGGTGTCATTCACTTCACTACTTGCTATTAGGTTTTATTCTCCGGCGACTATGTTGTCTCGCGGGCGTGCAAATGAAACTTATTTTTTGATGTACTACTGTTCGATTTTAAGTGGGTGCCCATTTTTCCAAATGTAGGCTCCTAGTTCCTATCGAAGTGTTCGTGTGCCGCATGGATGTGCTGAGCTGGATGTATAGTACTGGCTCCAAAGAGGCGCTGCTCGTGGAGAGTTCACACTGGTTTCTGCCAGATTTCTGCAGCACTCCATCTTTTTTAATGGCCCTAGATAATCCAAGACCTTATCCCCAAAGGACTGTTTTTTTTTACGAAGGAAGGTTCTTAACCAAATGAACTAATGAGAATTTTTGCAATGCACTACTCATAAGGTCGCTGAAAACTCCTCGACAGCCCACGACCGGTTTCGCCCTTCTTGGGGCTCATCAGGTAGGCGCAGTCCCCGGGTTTCCGTCAGCCTCATGTTCTACTTGAAACCAAATCGCACGAAATTAGCCTGGAAACATCAAAACCGAGAGATTCAGCTGGGTTCCAGATGAGTCTCTCGAAAAACCGAACTAATGAGACGTTTCAAGAGCTGCATTGAAATTTCGACCGTTGGTGTGTAGTGTAATTTTGAGTCTGGAACCGTTAAGCTATTCAGAACGTTATTAAATTCACCAAATCGATTTAGATCCAAGTCACTACTATTTGAACATGAGCTTATCCTTACATTGCAAAAAAACAATATTCAGCTTGAGTTTCTTTCTCCTCACTGTCCCTCAATTCGGACATCAGTAATAGTGTTATGGTTATCTTCATCCAGGCTAGGGAAGCAAATATCACCATCGACAACAGAATTAGCATGCCACTCAAGTGTCTCGCATTAATCAAGAGAGAATACTGTAGTAGAGAGTAAAAGAGCAAGGTTCGAACTAGGTGTAAAGAAGCCTAATGTCTTTATGGGAAGATATTAGGAAGAGAGCGATCAGATTGATCAGCACTGAAACAAAAGTATCGGAGCATTAGGTCTGAGGCGGGCGTTGTCGTCTTCTGCAAATCCCACCCAGTTCATCTGTGCACCGGCAAACAGCCGTCAGTTAAGCAAGTGGCTAGAAAGTAATAGTAGGTTGGTCATAGGGGTCGATTCTTTGCCACTTTGTGTGCAACCCCTTGAATCAAGAATCATCTCGGTTCCGTCCATACGTGCGCGAATACTGCACAACACTGCGTTCCACGATAGCCTTGTGTCGTAGTCTATTCGCTGCTAAATTTTCCACTGGAAAACAATGTTTTCTTCGGTAGTCGGTATTTGGGCGTGCGGGGTATGCGTCCCAACTATCTTAACCTGATGATCTTTATTTGCCGCTATAGTAATCCTGTTTCTATACCAATTGTTGGCTTACGAGCTACTTCATCCCGGACGCGGTGCAATCAGCTGACTGTTGCTATGTTGCCAAGGCGCCCATGATTGTATGTTTGAAGACAATACAAGTCGTATCTTGTCTACGCATGGGCAACGTGGTCGTATCCCAGCCCACGTGCTTCTTTCAGGTTGGCGTCGCAGCTAACCATCGTATTGATGTCGTAGCTGAACGGCTGTTCTTTGGCATGTTTCTTACTTTCGAATTGCAAAGCTTGTCTACAGAATTTCCAAGCTTTTGCTTATCGGAGACCTCAGAAGGAAGTACTTGAGTCTGTTGATCTATTTGCGTATCTTGGCAGCTGCGTATGACGCGACCGTACCATAGCCGGTGAAGTCAATGTGCGGATAATGAAAGTGCATGCAGCATTCGCCGTATGTGTGACCATCGGTGCCTCCGTAGCATAGAGTGAGGTTGCTGGCCGTAGCAAGTACGCAACAAAATCATGTGTTAGCATGGTTGGATCATCTACCCGAGAAGGCGTTCCAAGCCACTGTTGGTGAAATGGTCCCTGGGACGGATTATGATATGATGACGTGAAATGGAAGCAACTACAGTCCAACTAATTCCTGCGTGTTCTTGACCCTTTCTGGGCTAATCCTTGATTATACGTGTCTGGAAACTCTTCAGGACATGGCATGCAACCGGTCGCAGTCATTTCTTAGCCGGATTGCGCTAATATTTTATCGAGTGAAGTTCGCAAAGGATGCTGCTACTGGCCCTTTTATTCGGTATGACACTCGGATACGTTTATTTCAGTGCTGTCCAAAGTCGTAGGCGTCTTATTCATTGCCGTTTTCCTTAACCACGTCGGTACACCTCTCACCAAATCCTTCCCTTCCATTTTTACTCTACGAAGGCTTTGTTCCCTGAGGGTTGTATGGCAGTTAAACACCAGTACATGTCAGTCATTATATGTACATTATATATTATATTATATATACGATATATTATGTGTATTATATATGCATGATTCGTTTGGTTTGGTGCTTTGACATTTTCAGAAACCGCGCATGTTGATTTTAAACCAACCTCAGTTAGTGCCCATCTGAACCCAGACATAATGTTCTATATAGAGAATTCAACAAACCCATAATTGCATTGGTAGCATATGAAAAATGAAATGCGCTTTTTCTTGAAACAATTTACTGCCTATAAGCTTGCTGAAAGCTTTCCCACATTCCACTTTCATTTTCGCCCTTTTTGATGCTTATCGGGTAGGTATGGTCCTCGGGCTTCCGTCAGGCTTGTGTTCTACTTGAACAAAAGATTTTATGCCTTTGACCAAAAAAGGTTAGTGCAAACCCTTAAACTACCAGTACCCGGTGGCATAAAGTGTAGTATTAATTTTCAGCAACATGATGAGTAATTTGTTATGTCTAGAAAACTTACTGCGATATCTCGGACATCGTGCCTCCTAAAATATGAGACAGCTTTTGTGAAGCACATTCAGTTGAGAAATATGAGACAGCTTTTGTGAATCACATTCAGTTGAAGCATAGTGTTGACGATAGTTTCATTTGGGTTTCCCGGTAACACGAAAGTTATCCCCTAATGAGCGTACTTTGCGACCTGCAGTACGGATTATTCAATTTCTCCCCAACGTAAGATGCTTTGGGTGATAGAAATGGCATGTCGGGATGTGCATACTTCTCTAGGTTTCTGTTTGATGGAGTCGGCTGCTTTCAGACCCGATCTTCTCACAGTAATAGTCCCAACGCCCCCAAAACAATGAAGATTACTGTCATTTACGATGCACAGAGAGTACGGTCAAGTGACCTTACACTCATTCATTCTGCTCATCAGTCATAGTTTTCAATATTACTCCTTCCTATTAAGTAGCTGTCTCCTGCTGTCTCTGAGCTAACTTAATGGATAAAATGTAAAAATCGAAAATTAGAATGAGAAGAAAGGCAGATATATTGGTGGTCGGGGTGAAACTGCAGGGCGAACCTCTTAGGTTAGGCGCAAACTTGCTGGTAACTGAAACACGCTTCCCTGCTGCAAAGTATCTCCAGCCCAAAATAGACAATGAAAACAATCATGACCTCGTCGCTGCTTGTTTGCTTCCAACTTAATCAAGACTTTTCATGCGGTGGTAGTTCTCTCGGCGTTGCGATTTTCAATAGGTATTTCATCAAGCATCCTTTTTGTCTATTACCCTCGAGGACACTTACTGACGACTGGATCTGTTAGCTTGAGAACAATCAGCTGGCGAAATCAGTCTTGGCCAGAGCTGTTGGCTTCGCACGTATATTGTACCCTACTGATAGACTGACCATATGCAGGCGTTAAAAACCTTGCTTTTGAGCGACAGTCTGATGTCTTTTCGACATCTAAACCGATGCCGATAGAAGGTGAGCAAGCTGCGAGCCTGAGGTGGATTTGTTTATCCTATAAGTGACCTCATCCACAGCAAGAGAACATGAGTATATCACACTTTTTATGTGGGTGGAATTGTAGACAGTCGCGAGTCCCTTGGATAGCTTGGGTATTTCCGACCCAATCTCATAACAAAACCCTACATTATGGAGGTTGAAAGATTATTTAACAAATTTAACTGCTTTTAAAACCATGTGATCCTCAAACTCAACATTGACCAGCTCATCATCCAGAAAAAGTTCTAACCAAGTGAATCTGGAACCTCACCATATCTAGTACCTCTAGTGGCTTCCAGTTGATGTGAAAATCACAGGATGCCTTTAACGATCTACAACTTGTATAATCCGCTCTTTGTGGGCGATCACTGATCCAGAGCGAATTCCAAATGTATTCACCATTAATGTTCTCTTTATTTTGCAGTGCGAAATCAGCTCGTTAGAAATGAAGGTGTTCTTACTGCCAATACTAGTGCTTCTGTGGAAGCCGTTTCTTTGTTCACTCATTCACTCATTGTTTTCGGAGTATGTGGAAAAAACGGTCCCTTTACGTTCAACTAACTGCGGTCTACAAGTGTTAGTGTCAACTTTGGGAATTGTCGTGCACCCGCCTTTGTACCATTGTTCAGTAGTTGACAAACAGTCCCCTTGACGTAAACACCTAATAGGATGACGTTTTGGTATGATCGTCTGAGATGACAGGGTGTGGGGACAAACACAGAATCCCCAGTCAATGTCCCAACATTAGTGTGCTATTCCGGTCTTACGCACGATAGAAAGTTTTCTCGTGATCAGATGAAAACCTTGAATCGTTGTACTTTTAGTCTCCACCGCTGTTGCTACTACAGCGCAACGGCGATGGTTCAGTTTCAGCACAACAGCTTTGTAATACTGTTTGGCCGGTCTGTCCACCTGAGTTCAGTGGGCCATACGTTCACTGTGATATACCGTCTTGCTTCGGTAAGCCATTGAAGATGCTTGATAGAAACGATTGACTGGCAGACGTTTATTTTCTTCAGTATGTGGAATTTGTCTGACTGTTTTCGCGGCTGTAACCGGTGTGACTATAGGTTGCTGTGGGCGTAAAAGTTCACTGGGATTCACCGGGTTAAGTATCATAGTTCCGGAGGCTTCAGCCTGCTTGCCAGAGCCATTGTCAAACTGCGCATAGTTCTTGTAAAACGGCACTGATGAAGGCATTCCCGTCATTTGCTGGGAAATTGACAATAATTCGATAAGGGGAAAATGCTAAACGTTGTCATAATATTCATCATTTGACTGATATTTTACCATGCCTAAATATGACGAATACTAATGGACCAAAAGAGTATCAGAGGAGAGTGGCAAATAAAGCCTGCATTCAAGGTAAACTTCTGCTTGTCTCCCTTAGAAGTATAAAGAGTATGCAGTACACCAAACTGAGCTTTCTCTGAACGCCTACAAGGAGCAAGCAAGGCAGTTCATTTTTAGATCCATCACAAAAGAGGAACACCCTCGTCGAGGAACCATTTTTGCATTTTCCAACGTGTTTCATCGAAAAGGGAATACTGCAGTAAATCGCAACGATGTAATGAAGATGTGAAGCACTTTGAGATAAGTGGAAGTCTCAATGCAGCTGGAACAAGGTTTGAGCAACCCATGACACTCCGACAGGATTACCTACGAATGGAAATATCGCTCACAAATTTACATTCTCAGCAGGTATATTTCTGAAACTTATCGATGTCAGTAATGACTACAATACATCAGCTGCAACATTCTTACCACCTCTTTCTAGTATTCGTCCACATCATGGAACACTTGCTGCTTCCAGAGTGATTAAATCATTCTCCAAGAGTAAACACCACAATGACAGTGGTACGTTTTTCCATTTGCCTGGATATCCAAGTTGACTATCACACAGAGACGGTCGACTTCCGTTACACGTCCTATCTGTGTCATTCAGTTATGCCACTTCCTTCTATGGATGTGGGTCGATTACATGTTATTAGTGCATGTAACAGGGTGTAGGAGGCTAGAAAGCAGTTATTGGACGAAAACTTTTTATCCAATGCTCCCCAGCTCCATTTGATCTTGAAAGAGTACATTTCCACCGCATGTTTACTTTTAGTTTTGGTTCTTATTCAAATCAAGGTGAAGTAGACGCACCAGGTATCTTATATTTCCCGTCCGTCTTACGAGGATACGCCCGTCATCATGTTTCCAGCAGTCAAGCTAAGTTAGCGGTTTTATGTAACTTAGCGTTTGGGCACCAGAACGAGAATACTCGGTTGCCATAGGTTATCTGGTAGTAGTGGCCTATTTGTTAGAGCTTCACGTTCACTTCGGACTACCCAAGCTTCCTACTCATACCCTTCACGGGTAGCCTACTCATCGTTAGTCCCCCTTTTTGATCGTCTCTGTTGGTCGCCACTGATGAGTAGCTTGAGTATGTTAGCAGAAAAGAAGTATCCCTGTCATATCATGGCCGAAATTCGGAACGTTTTGGTCTACTGGGCACTCTATTCCTATACTGTATCCTACAGCACTCTGTGTAAGATGTTTGATCGTAAATTCCGTGGTGAAGCCAGTTTTTTTGTCTTTAAAGACATCAAACTTCGCCTGTTGAACGTAGCTGAGTATGCTATCCTTGAAAATGGTTTTTGTCGCTGTTACGTGCCTTAAAGCAGTTCGGTTGTACGACTCAACTCTGACAAAGTGCTACCTGGCACTACAGGCTCCTAACTAGGTTTGGGCAACTAACCCTTGTACATCCTCCAACGTTTTACAAGTTCCAAACTGAAAATGATACACCGCTATGCTTGCGGAAGGATTTCATCGTCTACGTACGTACAGTTCCCAACATGATTTCCAAATTTGCCTTTGTGATCCAATCATGTATCTTCAAGGTAACAGTTTCTGGGAGCCGTCGGAAACCGTCATTGTAGACGAGATGAAACACCAGTGTTGTAACCTGTGGGCTGTGCTTGAATTCTGACTGACTGACTGAATTAATTAATTACTTAATCAATTAATTAATTTAATAGCATTTTAGGGAGGGAGTTACCTGTATGATGAAGCAGAAGCTGATTTACTCAATGCTACTAGACTGGTGGGAACTTTTTGTCTAAAAGTCTACAGGAATTCGACAAGCCTGGTCAAAAGTGATCGCCCAAAAATGGTTTTATCCCATAATTTCATTCTATTCTAACGGGACCAGCAAAGTCTCCAGAAAAAAGCAAAACGGTAGATGACGGAGGGACGCTTTGTTTACCGTCCTACGATGGTTTTTCTTGTTAGGGTGATATTCAATAGTGTATTACCGCTAAAATGTCAAGGTTGTGTTCTTATCAAGTACAATAAAGTACACTAAACTGGTGACTGCTAGAAACAATTACGAACTACTGTCAGGTCAAACAAGACCGGCCTTGTGACCAAAACCTTGTTGTATACACTTGAGACAACTTGCCACTCGAATTACGCTTCCCAAAGCTATGGACTATAAAAGTCCGCTACAACTATTCCCTCTTTACCATCAAGTTTAGGAAGGTCAGCCACTTTTTGTTTCCTGGCAGCCGAGTTCACATACTCTTGAAGACCTTGTTAATAAACTGGTCGCGTTCATTCGTACAGTGATCTCAAACGGGTAATCGTAGCGTAATGGCACGGTGAGTTGAAGCTTTATCTATTTGACGTAATATTTGCATCTCCTGTTTCCATGTTCATCAATGAAATAGTGTATGCCTTCTTTTATCACCTCGTACAGGAATTCGGTCGTGTTGGATTGGGCCCGAACGCTGTGTTTAATGATCCTCGTACTCAATCGAATTCAGTACCAAAGGCGAGCAGAGACTCGGCTGCACGCAACTCTTCAAGTTTTCACAAAGAACAACCGGCTGTCGGTTCATTTCCGCCTGGAATCACTTCCACTCACTTGGCCGGACGTTACTGCGTCGCCAAATTCGACTTCCCGGCTGAGTTTGAAGGTGAGATTTCATTCAAGCGCGGTGACCGTCTTCGAATACTGGGTGAAGAGGATGATAATTGGTGGTTCGCCCAACTAGTTCCCTCACAACCGTCCGATGAGCATACTCCATCACGGGGGCTTATCCCAGCCAATTATGTGGAACTACTTCCCCAACACACAACGGGTTCACATCCATCGGTTTCTCGTTCCGCGGGACATTTGACTCATCCATCGCGTGCCACGTGAACCTCTGAGAATAGCTACCTAGCGGCTTTCATACCTGTCTCGTCTATTTTCAAGACATGTGCGTAGCCATATTTGTGGTTGATCCCTTCTGTGAAGTCTTTTTATACTTTTTTCCTGTCAATGTGAGTCGTATTCATAGGCTCTGAAGTGAAACATCACTACACCAGTGCTCTGCAGATGGAACTGATCCATCGAAATGGGTTTGTAGAAGCACTGGGGCCAAGATTCTTGCGTTATTTCCTACTTCCTGGCTGTGTTGCTTTTTTGGTTGATGTTCGACCAAATTTTAAGAACCCGCTGTAATGGTGTTATTCACGCCTTTTCCTTTGTTTTTATTTCTTCAAAACTCATACACACTGTCGCAAGTACTAATGTGGATTGATCGCATTTGATTGTATAATAATTTTCTCCCGTTATTCGCTTAAACCTTGTCAGTTTCGAAAATGCTTACTGTTACTGGCTGTCGATGGGCACAGTTTGGACGTATTTTACAGCCATATTGCTAGGTTGCTAGGGGAAATTTCGGGAAAGATAGCTGCCTGAAGTCCCCACCAAAGAATCTATCCCCGTCCACCCGGAAGCTGTTTGTCGTCGCTCAATTGCTGGATGCACAGCGCCTTTAAAACTAGATACAACCAGAGGGCTTTTATGTGCTGTTGGTTAATTATAGTCTTTGCTGAGTAAGCTACTGCGATGAGTGTAATCGAATGAGGATGTGTTGGATCGGTACTGCCCTCCATGGTATTTCTCATGGGTCGTTGTGATTACAGCCTAGACCAGTGTACGCGCTCCACTGAAACACGTTGTGGTACACGCGTCATGTAGTGAATAAACTCCTCTTTGAGCTGATGTTCGGCTTGTAGATGAATTTCACGAGGGAATGTTATATTCTGCACTGTTGTCCGTTTTTTGCAGATAGCGTCACTTCATCCACCCATTTGATTGAAACCGTCTATTGAGTCAACAGAACAAACCTTTAGCTGAAGTTGATTCGCTGGATTTAACGTGATCTACAGAAAAGATAGAATAAGGGGTGGTCCACAAACAAGTTCGGTGTCACATGAATTGCAAGCATGTGACAACCTCAGACCTTCGTCATGTGGGTGCCTGTACTTATGCGCGCAAAGTCCCTATTGAACCTTCGCTATCCGGCCCGTAAACGAATATTCTAAGGCCTATCCCGCCGGATGCTTCAAGTGATTGTTGCAACAGCTAGTGGATGTTTGCGATTTTTCGTCATTCACAGTAGGTGCGTTTACAGACACTTAGTGAGTCAAACAATCGTGGCAATGAGCTTGAACATGTATGTAACCATTGAAGACTACTTAGTCGGGTGTAATGTGGAATCATTTGTTCAGTTTCTTTAGAATAATAGGAAATGGCAAAACGCCTGCGCTGGTCGTTTTCTAGTGAGTAGACGGCTTTACGCAAAAATTATCATATTCAACCGGCGGGTGTGGCCAGACCCTAAACTAACGTGTCAACCGTCTCTTCGAGAAGACAGATATTCTCACTCTTAGCATCTGTGACTGCGGAGGAGGCTGTGTTCCAGTGGCTATCCAGAAGTCACAACGGATGGGATTTTGGCAGAAAGTGCCACACAGACAAGTAGTCATTGTAAACTATTGTCGGATATCGTTTATGGTGTTTGTGATGAACAGAATTCGTTGAAAAGTAGTCGTTGGCCGAAGATGTTCAAGAATGTATAAGAGATTTCGTTCAGTAGGCTAACTACAGGATAGTATTCCGTCGATTACGATGCAGCAAGCAATTGCGAGGCTATTTAAACGAAGGCAATTTGCACGGGGCGATTTTTATATATTCTGCTATCACTCTCGTTCATCGTTCCGTGAATAAGATAGCACTAGAGAACTGGGGGCAGGCGAAAGCGTCACTCTATCGCAACGCGAATGGAAGCAACAGGCTTTCTTTAGTTTTTACCTGCAGCCACGTTCTTATTACGATTCTCAACTGAGATGTGAACCTCAGTTCCAAGTTGCTCAAACGAATGTACACAATTTTAGGAACTAAGAAGAGGCAATTCCCGTCAGTTGTGTTCTACAGAATGAACACTTCGGTAAATTAGACAGGCCTGACTCGCTAAACTGGCGCCTGTTATTCCGTCAGTTTAAATTTTATTCACAGCTTGAGGGTAAAGCTTCGTAATAAGTCGAATTAATTAAGTTAAGTTCTTTGTCTTGAAGACTGACTGTGCGGTTATAACGAGAGTGAACCGCAAAGTGTGAGATGACTGCAGGGTTACAGCAGAGTTTCGCAGTGATCGTTTGTAGTTTTCCGGAGCCCTGAAGTAGTAGTATTTCATTCGTATATCATCCTAAAGGCGTATGCCCGCCGAGTTAGCCAAATGAGTGTTTGAAACCAAAACAGAGTGGCTGCCTAAGAGAATAGAATAGATCTCATGGAAAAGAAAAGGCTTATTAAAGGCCGGGCAGTCACTTCGACATGGAAGTTCTCATCAGCGCATCATCATAAACTACCTGATCCAGGTAGTTTCACATACGAAATTCAGTAATGGAGTCGAATGTGGTCTTGAAACCCATTTATCGGTATCCTGCCATTAGATCACAAGCTACGAAATTTTGCGCTCCCTGGAAGTTTACTCATTTTGAAGCACCCCTAGACTTTTGTTGCATGTCCTTTCGAAGCCTTCCGTGAATTTTGTCATTCAGCTATGGATATATAACTCATGGGGTTATGTAAAGTCACTTTTGTCACGTCTCTATTCAGCAACTGCGTTTGAACACTGGCAAACATTGGTCTTTCAGTGTGACCCGGACTGCATATTACTTGATCGCCACAGTGGAATGTGCAACAACAGACGTTGAGAGCTCTTGCTTGTTTCACGAAGGATTGGCGAGGAGGATGAACTTTTACAAGGCAGGATTTAGAACGATCAGCTTTCAACTTTCGGCCCTTTTTTGAAATCCCCTCGCTGTCCCATATCCATCACTAAAAGGCAATCCTCCACAAACAAAAAAATCAGAGAGTAATTCTGGAGAAAATCTACAGCATGTTTGTGCAACCCTTTCGGTATGGAAATGGTTCTCCGCAGTGAACTTAGCGCCACGCTAGTGTTATTTTCGTGATTGTTCGCCAGCAAACAACGTCACTGGCAGCTGCTCGCTCCAATGTTCACGAGCACTACTTAATACTAGGTTGTAAACCAACGCACCTCCAAAGGGTCAGCGTGATCCACCAAATACCTCAGAATTCCAATCCGTTAAAAGCTTGTAGTGATCTGTCTGATTTCATCTTACTGAAATGTACAAGGTTTGATTAATGAGGATTTCACTGATAACCTGTAAGCGGGGTGTAGCGAAACAGCTCTTTCCTGTTTCAGCTGCTCGAGTTCTTTAAATATGGGGCCTTCAAATCTGGAATCTGTCGACTTCGCCGTGACTTGATGCAAGTTTTTGACAACGGCGGAGGATCGGAATTTCCAAGTGTGATTTATGGAGACGGAATATTTCGCCATCACACTAACATCAACTGAGATTTCGTCCTGTATGTGAAGCCAAACTATACTGAAAAACCCAGAAGCATTGTACACCTGTTTCAGCCTGATTCGGAATCATCGTCGGTGTATGAGATTCCCAAATCTCCCCACACTACCATCGGTTTGTAAGCAGCTCATGGAAAAGAATATTTCACACAAAGTGTGAAACTTCCATCCGAGATGTCGTTCGTCGGGGGGCCAGTCAGCACATGACGTGAATTCCGTGAGCGAAGGGTGAGTGACGCAATGTCCCTTGTAAGTGTGATTTGATCACAATGCTGACCAGCCGAACGGTGAATCCGGGAATTTGCGGTTTCGATTGAGTTTCGTTCCCCCTAAGGATAAAACAGCTGTGCAGTGCTTCTCTACTCTTCTCTCTCCGAGTGAATCCGGGAATTCGCGGTTTCGATTGAGTTTCGTCCCCCCTAAGGATAAAACAGCGGTGCAGTGCTTCTCTACTCTTCTCCGTGGACTAGCTTCACTGACATGACGAAATCTCGATTACAAATTCGCGAATCTCCTCACTCTACAATAACATAGGGGTTGGGAAAGTGATGCTTATGGAATCCGTCTCAGACAATCCCGTGGAATGGTTCTGCGATCCTCACCACAAATGGGAGTTTGGACGAGGATGGACCGTTTAATCGAAGATTACTTCGGGGACAATTTTATAATCACGATTTGGACGTACCTGTGCTCAGTCTAGGTTTCAAAACCTTTTGACCAAACAAGATATTCTTGATGGGGCAGCAAATCTGTCGTCAGTGGGCTTCGAATTCACCGAAAATTGGATGTGGATGATCTGTTATGTCGGTCTGGATCTCGGTTGTTGGAAAACCAATGTGTTACTTGGAACTGTGAGAATAATCCTCAAAGGAACATGAAGTCCATCTGGGCAAATGGCTTGGTTGCTTTGGAGTACACAACGCTATTGTTGTGAATCCAGCCGGTTTTGAATCAAATGATGGGACATAGTCAGGCATCGCAATAACGATGCTCGGAGTCAGCATGCGTCTGATCGTAATGCCAGAGATAATTAATATTGAGGCAGTTTCTCCTAAAAACGTCGAGCAGTTGTCTTTTCACTATTATCACCCGAAGTTACTGTGACTTTTACAGTTGGACCGGCGGAAATTTGCATAAATTGAATTCGGTTCTTAGTACATTAGGGCACGACTCTGAATTGTCTGTAGCGCTCCACCCAGTAGCAGGATCCACACACTGATGCACTGCGTCCTAACTTTGTTGCAGCGGACTGAAATTCCGTCCCGTTTCAGTGTTCTTCTTGGCAGGTATCAGTTGATCAGTGGTTCACTCGTTGCAGCGGATGAAATTCCGTCCCGTTTCAGTGTTCTTCTTGGCAGGTATCAGTTGATCAGTGGTTCACTCGGTGTGCGAAGCTATTCAACAGTCTTATCTACATCGTCCAGTTAAACTCTAAAGTTATCTCCATTGAATGGTTCAGTATTCGTATCTCGGTGCGGGACCTAGCGCTCGTGCGTTGAATTGGATCGGACATTTGGACGTCCCATGTTCCGTGAGCTGTGTGCTTCACAACTCCAAATGATTTAATATGGACTGTAAACGCAAGGGGCTGCTCATCATTTAGGCCTAATCTCAGAACTTTGCTATCTCTTCGGTAGTCATTCTGTCGTTTTAAGTACGGCACTTGTGACATTCAAGACCGCGTAAGCTGGAAATGCAGCTTCAACGACTTTAGTGATTCCCTCTGGAATGGAATATACGAGTGAACCGAAGAAATTGAGTAGTGTATGGCGTCATGGAATTTCCAGGTATACTAATCCCATCTTATCAGGTATGAACTGGTACCTTACTAATCCACCACCACTAGGACATTCGGATGCCTGTGTTGGACTAGGTATCCAGCTGTGTCTCTGAGCTCTTTGTTGAGTCAGTACTAAAGAAATTTTGCATGTTGAAGTAAGCCACCACTGGCACCATTCACTGACCTATTCCGCAAAAGGATCAAAGAATAACTGCCAGCAACTGTCCACAACATATGGGCCTAGTCACTCGTGCTGTGATGTGGGCAAGCGCAACCGGCGTTCGATCGTTTACGGACATCAGTTTGTGCCTCATGTGCACAATTCCCAAATCCATATAGAGCCTTGCTAGTTGCCTATTAATTGAGGTATCTTTTGGTGCACCTGTGTACTCCGTGATCAACCTCCGCGGTACAATACTGTTACCGTGGAATCTCAGGTTCCAAGTTTACAGCCGTGTTTTGCTTCCAGTGTTATACTTCAAAGCCATCTTCTGCTTGATCGGCATCACGCTTTTATAATATCGCGTTTTTGGAAGCAAAAACACCTTCACGCTTTTATATATCGCTTTTTTGGAAGCAAAGACACCTTCATGTTTTTCCCCTTTCTCTACTTCGCCCTATTAAACACTGCTCGCCAATTTCCCCCTGACTTTAGTATCGAACTGCTGGTCGCAGGCATTTCGACCGTGTGCTACCTCAAGCTCTGG